TATATATATATATATATATATATATGCATAGGCATATATATATAGAGACACATGTAAATAAACAAATAAATATAAATATATAAATAAAATATAATATATATTTTGTTTTTATCTATATAAATAAAGAAAATGAAGATATAAACTAACGGTGGCAGGGAAGGCCCTATACACCACAACTGCAGCAGCAGCAGCAGCGCTTCTGCTGCTGCTGCCGGTTCGATTAAACGCAACTCAACAAGCATGTGCTGCAGCAGCTGCTGCAGCAGCTTCTGCAGCACTTGCTGCTGCTGCTTCAGCTGCTGCTGCTGCTGCTGCTGCTTCACCTGTCTCTGCATTTTTACTTGTAGCTGCATTTACTGCTACTGCTGCAGCTACAGCAGCAGCAGCAGCTGCTGCTGCTGCACGCGCTGGTGTTTTTGCTTCCTGCTGCTGACGCAGCAACGCAGCAGCAGCAAGGGCCACCCTAGAAGTAACCGTATCTTCCTGAACTGCGGTAGCAGGCCTCCCCACCAGCAGCAGCAGCTGCAGCAGCAGCAGCAGCAGCAGGGAGCGGCGTGTGGGGCAGCGAGTTGTCTCTGAGGCTGCAGAGACTTCCGCTTCGCCTGACCCTTAGTCCTGCATGTCTTGCTGCTGCTGCTGCAGCAGCAGGATTGCTGCTGCTGCTGCTGCTGCAGAAGGGAAGTGGATTTAACATGTGCCTCGGCATCAAGGGACTAAGCTTCCTTGGTGCTTCACCATGGGCTGCTGCTGCTGCTGCTGCTGCTGCTGCAGGTGTCTCTTCCTGCTTGTCTAGTCCAGGGAGGGGAGTAAAAGAGGCGCTGCGTCTGTGTGCATTCCCCCACGACCGCATCATCAAGAGCCGCTGCTGCTGCTGCTGCTGCTGCTGCTGTTGCTGCTGCTGCTGCTGCTGATACTCAGTAGGGGTATAGCGAAATTGGGGGCCCCCCCTAACTCCGTAGGCCCTAGCAGGTGCGCTCGGCATAAATGCGTCTCCTGGGGCCCCCCCTTGAAAGTGTGTTGCTGCAGCAAATGCTTCGAGGGGTGGTTTGCTGCTGTTTCCTGCTGCTGCTGCTGCTGCTGCTGCTGTCGAGCGCGTTTCCCTTGCATAAGCAGCAGCAGCAGCACCAGGCACCACCCACGAGGGTCCCCCAACTGTTACTGCAGCACCACCACCTGCACCGGCAGCAGCAGAAGCAGCAGCAGCACTAGTAGCAGCAGAAGCAGCAAAAGGAGGAGAACTCTCAAGCCTCAAACCCAAAGGGTGCTGCAGAGTGGTGCTGCAATGCCCCTGTTGCTGCTTACAGAAGGGGACCCCAGAGAATGGGGCCCCCGAAGGGGGGCCCCCAGAAAAGGGGCCCCCAGAAGGGGGGCCCCCAGGAGGGGGGCCCCCAGAAGAGAGGCCCCTTGAGGGGCCCCTTGAGGGGCCCCTAGAGAGCCCCCTAGAGGGCCCCCTCGAGAGGCCTCTATGGGTGCCCCCCGTAGAGTTTGCTGCAAGTGCAGCAGCAAGGCCAGGGCCCCCCTGAGAAGAGATGAAGAGCGAATGAGTTTGTTGATATTGATGAGGCAGAGGAGGCAAACCAACTGGAGAAGATAACCATGGAGAAGAAGCTTCCTCATGAGTTTGCTGCTGCTGCTGCTGCTGCTGCTGCTGCTGCTGCTGTGGTTGCGGGTGATGCGAATGCCTCAAGGCAGTGCCCGAGGGGAATTCCCTAAAGGGAAGGCTTTGGTGTTGCTGCTGCTGCTGCTGCTGCTGCTGCTGCTGCTGCTGCTGCTGCTGCTGCTGTTGATGATGGGGTGTGTAAGGGGAAGAGCACCCCAAGAGAGAATTGCTGCTGCCAAGATGGTGCTGCAGCAGACGCGTGTGCTGTTGCTGCTGCTGCTGCTGCTGCTGCTGCTGTTGCTGTGGGTATTCGCTCCAAGAAGCTGTCGTTCCCACTGCTGCAGTGTGATGAACTGGCGTCCACATCTGTTGCTGCTGCAGCCGTTGCTGCAGTAGCTGCTGCTGCAGCTGCTGCTGCAGCTGCTGCTGTTGGTGCGGCAGCATTCGCTGGTGTTGCTGCTGCAGCAGCAGCCATGAGTCTGCTGCTTCGGCAGCAACGTTGCTGCTACAAGTGCTAGACCTGGTGCTCATGCGTGCAGAGAAGGTGCCTCCGGAGTGCTCTCGCTGCTGCAGCAGCAGCAGCTGCTGCTGCTGCTGCTGCTGTTGGAGTTCTAAGGAACCGTGCGACCGTCGAACTACGCGGGGTAGAGACACTGACAAGTCTGGGCTGCTTTGGTTCTGTTGCTGCTGCTGCTGCTGCTGCTGCTGTTGCTGCTGCTGCTGCTGTTCCCATGAAGGCAACCCAGGCGTTCTCTCCACATTTGTAGGAGATTTCCAGCTGCTGCTCCTGCTGCTGCTGCTGCAGTTGTTGTTGTTCATGCTGCTGTTGCTGTTGTTGCTGTTGCTGCTGCTGGTGCTGCGCGTCCTCCCGTGTCGCTGCAGAGGCACCAGGTGCGTCCCTTGCTGCGTCGAGTCCTGCAGCAGCTGCTGCTGCATCTGCTGCTGCTGCTGCAGCTGCTGCTGCTGCAGCTGCTGCCCGCTGCTGGAAGGAGACACGTGAAGAGACCTCGTCTTAATGTCTTCGATGCATGCAGTGAGGTGCTGCCGCTGCTGCTGCAGCTCCCGATGTTCTTCCAGCAGCTGCTGATGAAGCTGCTGCTGTCTATACAGCTGAGCAGCAGCAGCTGCTGCTGTTCTCCTAGCACTCGCAATGTTATCTTGTATAACGGGCTCCCAGGCTTGCTGCTGCTCCTCCTCCTCCGCCTCTTCCTGTTCCTCTGCTGCTGTTGCTGCTGCTTCTGCTGCTGCTGTTGCTGCAGCTGCATGCTCTGGAGCTTCTGCTGCTGTTGTTGATGCTGCGGCTGCAGCAGCAAAAGGGACGGAAGAGGCATCATCAGACGGCTCCTTTGGCTGCTGCTGCTGCTGCTGCTGCTGTTGCTGCTGCTGCTGCTGCTGCTGCATGAGGCACGCTGTGGCTTGTTTGTGCTCCTGCTTCAGTCTTTCATGCTCTGCTAACAGCTGCTCTATCTTGAGCTGCTGCGACTCCAGCTGCTGCTGCTGCATTTGCTGCAGCATCTGCTGCTGCAGCAGATGGTCCAGCAGCTTCTCGGGTGCTACTGCGGTGTCTTCGCTTTGTGACTGCTGCAGTTGCTGCTGCTGCTGCTGCTGCTGCTGCATCTCCTGCTGCTCACTCTCCAGTTGATGCTCCGCCTCCTCCTCTTCTTCCACCGCATATTCTCGCTGCTGTTGTTCTTGCTGCAGCTGCTCTGCTGCTTGCTGCTGATCCTTTTCCTGCTGCTGCTTTGTGCTGCTGTCTTCAATTGCGAGAGAGACGCCTGCGGGCTCCTCTGTCGTTTCACTCCTCCGCTCTGCTGCTGCTGCTGCTTCTGTCGTTGCTGCTGCTGCTGTTGTCGCTGCTGCTACTGCGGCTTCTGTTGCCGCTGCTGCTGCTGCAGCTGTTGCTTCTGTTGCTGCTGCTGCTGCTGTTGCATGGTATTGAATGATCTCTTCTGGTTCCGCAGCAGTAGCAGCTGGAGATGCAGCCGTTGCTGCAGCGGCAGCGGCGGCTGCAGCAGCAGTTGCTGCTGCAGCAGTTGCTGCTGCAGCGGTTGCTGCTGCATCGGGAGAGTCTTGACTATTTTCATATGTGTCGCAGCAGCAGCAGAAATCTTCATTGCTGATTGCATTCTGCTGCTTCTCCTCACGCGCTGCAGCGGCAGCAGCAACTACGGCAGCAGCAGCAGCTGCTGCTGCT